GTTTAGGGTTGAGGGTTTAAGGATTGAGGTTTTAGGGTTTGCCTGGACCCTAGAAAAACGACGGCTTCAGGAGTTAGACCAGGGCTTTGGGGCTTAATATGTGTGTGTACAGTTTACATATATATCAGTATAAATAAATATATATATATATGTATTTATTTATTTATTTGTACGTATATATATATATATATATTATATATAGAGATATCATATATATATATATATATATATACATATATATATATATATATGGGTGTAACAGGCACTCTTTCTCCTAGAAACAGCCCCTTCCGCGCCGCTCTCACGTAGCTTCCGCGCTCTTTCGCGCACGAGGACAAACAACACCTCAACATAACTCGGGCACAGAAGCATCTCTGAAAGCTGTTGAGAGACTCTTAAACCAAACAATACACAGCTCTGATATATGTTCCTGGCATCCGATTTCGGAGGATCCTGTCTACAAGCCATACAGCTCTGTTACTAGAAGGGTCCCTTAATCACAAGCAAAAGCAGGAATCAAGGTTTAGAAAGAGTCTCTTCACCAGGCAATACAGCTCTAGAAGGGTTTCGCAGGCAAAGAACTCAGGCTCAGGAGCTGTCTCGGAGGCCTTCAGGTCTAGAAGGCACAAGTAGGTTTAGGGTTTAGGGTTTAGGGCTTATAGGGTTTAGGGTTTAGGGTCCCTAGAAATACGGCTCTGGAAGGACTTTACAAGAATATCCTAACGGGAGCCCTGGTGTGGAGTAGTGTGTAGAGCACTGGTTCAGCACCGCATGAGTGCGGGTTCAAGCACCGTCCCTGTCATAAGCAGATATTGTGCTTTTCTAGAAGGGGTTTCCAGGCAGCGATTCAGACAGATACTTTCTATACAGGCCATGCAGCTCTAGATGGGTTCACAAGCGAGGAATCCTGTTTTAGTTCTCGCGAGAGCAAGTGTCCCAGGGGTCGTTGGTCTTGGTGATACTTGTCTGTTTGGGAGCTCGAAGGGGAGGACGATGAGTTGGACGAACTGTTCGAAGAACTCGTTTGTGCGTGGCTCCCCTCAACCTCCCGTTTTAGTTCACGCCACCTCGCCAAGCCCACGAAAAGGTGCCTTTTTGGTGTTGTACCTTTTTTGGGGTGGGATGGTATGGTTGGGCAGCCTCGCCAACCCTTTTCGTCAGTTTTGCTGTGATCGATGCTTCTATGTTGTTCTACTGTTGATAATCAAAATCCTGCATTGCCTTAAGGACGCTAAACTATATATTCCTTCTTATGGGTAATGTAGGATATATATATATATATATCACCAACCGTATTTTGTAGTTTTTGCTGGTATATCATGTTCAAAGTCTCTATCGTGGTTTCATATTTTTGCGGTGTGCAGTTTGTCTGTGCTCTACGTGTCTATGGTGTCCTGTATTTCTGTAGGCTTTCCACATTGTCGTGGGTTGCAGTTCTCCATGCTTTTTGTGCTGGATCTACTTCTTCCGTTTGCCATTCTTTGATCTGAAATCTCCTATTCTTGTCAGGTTTTTCCGTTGTACAACGAGTCTTGTTCACTTTTGATCTGACATGTTTGCACCACATTGGATGCCCACAAGGTCGATCTCCAAGAGAGGCTCCAATATGGCGGCTTCCGAAAATAGGGGACCCTAATATAGTACCTTAAATAGTAGGATCCTTACCCTAAGGACCCCCAAATAAGGTACCCTAATTTTCGGAAACTCCCATATAGGGGCTTCATACATAGAACCGTGTTTGAAGTACATGCTGTTGCTCGAGTTATATGCTAGGGACTGCACGGGGACATTCTGACTACCCTAAACCCTAAACCCTAAACCCTAAACCCTAAACCCTAAACCCTAAACCCTAAACCCTAAACCCTAAACCCTAAATATCTACAAGGGACCCGAAAGGGATCCAGAGGGGCTCTGCGCGGTTTCTCTGAGGAATCTGTAAGGCTTCTGGTTCTACGGTTCAGGGTTCAGGGTTCAGGGTTCAGGGTTCAGGGTTTAGGGTTTAGGGTTTAGGGTTTAGGGTTTAGGGTTTGGGGTTTGGGGTTTAGGGTTTTAAGGGCCAGGGCTCCATACGGGTTCGTTACAAAGTGCCTCAAGGCTTTGAACAAGAGGGGTCGGCTCATTGTTTCAACCCTAATCACCAAACATGAAAACGTAAATCCCAAAGCCGCACAAATATAGCGTGATTGTATATATATACATATATATATATATATATGTATGTATACATACATAAACATACGTATACATGTGTACAAAGACGCTATTAGAACGTATTAAATTAAGGCCCTGAAGCCTCAAGCCACCTGAAGGTCTCTGAAACTCTGGACCTTTTCGGTGTCCTCATAAAAAGGACCCCAGTAGGTAGGGACATTTAGGCTCTGTACTTCGGGCCACGAGTCATCTCACGCACGGCCTATGATGCCTAAACCCTGAACCCTAAATGATGCAAACTACAGAGGCCCCATGCCTCCGGAAACCGGCTTAAGGGTTTAGGGTCTAGGGTCTAGGGGTTTAGGGTTTGGGGAGTCGAGTGTTTAGGGGTTTATTGGTTTAGGGGTTCAGGGCTTTAGGATTTTGCTGGTTGACCGCCTGTTCTCCGAGATGGGGAAGGCTGAGGTGTAGGGCTTACGGCTCTTCGCACCAATCCCAAAGCTCTAAACTGGCCCTAAACGAATCCCAGAAGCATAAACCATGAGCTATAGAAAAAGCTCCGGCAACGGGGTTCGCACCGAAAGTGCACCAGGTTGGCAGTCGAGTGTCACCTTACACTGTAGTTCAGAGGTTGCGATTTAGGGCTTAGGGGTTTGGGATCTGCGTCTGGTGTCCACGAGCTTTACCGGGTGGAAGGCATGGGATTCGAGGGAGGTACAGTAAATGGTTGATTTGAGGCTTACTAGCCAAACCTTGCAGGGCACTGTAGAACGAGCTTAGGATTGGGTGAAAGTCGAACCTCGAACCGCCGTAGTGTTCCCTAAAAGCCAAGTCAAACTGTTCAGGTTCCTTTGCGCTACCGGCATACAGGTCAGAAACCTCAAAGAGCTCTTCATGTAAGTTCAAGACCCTCTGTCGTGCTCCCTTGCTCCACCAGTACGGGTGTAGGGTTTCGGATCCTAAACCCTGACTGAACACAACGTCCGAAATCCTGAACCCTCAATCTGTAACCCGAAGACCAGCCCTGACTCACGGAACTTACCTTAAATCTTGAGGTTTAACCCTCTACGGTTTGAGGTATACTTACTCTATAAGCCCGTTGTGAACGCTGTGAAATCCTGCTAGCACCGAATACTTTGAGAATCAAGGCGTATTGAGCTCTCTGGGAAGCCCTAAATAACCCAAAAGGGCCTATAAACCCAAAACCGAACAGCCCTAAACCCAGAACCCCCAACTCTCTCCCTTACTTCTCTCCTTGTCCCCCGAGGCTTACACCGATTGCTGCTCGCAGCCGGGGAGGTTGGATATGAAGTTGGGCCAGGTGCCTGAACAGCAACACTGCTTGGAGGGTCATGGGACTTAATAAGTAAGGTTACCTTAGTTATAACCCTATTTACTAAGTCCCATGATCCTTTAAGTGGGGTTTATGGTTTGGGGGCTTTAGGGGTAGAGGTTTAGGGTGTAGGGTGGTGGGTCCGGGCTCTTGGTTGAGACTTTAGGGGCGTAGGGCTTCGGGTTGAGGATGCATCGTCTTAGCAGACTCCGGCAACTTCTCGCACACTCTTGCTTCGCACGCAAAACCTGCACCTGCAGTGATCAACGAAGTACCAACCAGCAGGACAGCGGTGCACGATCTGAAACCAGCAAGGTGTTGACTTCGGAGTACTCAAAGAGGATGGCTTGCTGTCACGGGTGCTGGTGATGATGCATGTTGGCGCGCTGGGCTACACCGACCCATCGCTGCACAGATCGGGAGGACTTGGCAGGAATGGACCAGCCAGATGTGTAGCGTGTAATGGCGCAGATGAGTGCTTTCCGCTCTAGTCATCATGCATCTTGAAGCCTGTCATCACTGCAGTCATGTCTCATGCCTTCAGATGCAACAACAGGAACCGCGGACAGTGACATGGACTACCTCGCAGCACACTTCACACCCTAAGCCACCTACTGATGTCCGGCTTACCCTAAACCCTGCAACCCGAGGCCCTAAATCCCAAACCCTAACGTTAACTTTGCAAAACTATGTAAACCAAAACTCGAAGCCCCTGAGAACCTCTAAACTCACTTCTTCGAAGGCTCACTTCTCTGGGAACACAGCTGCTCGAGCAGTTTCCGAGGTGTGTAGCCCACACTATCCGCCACCTGAGCTGTGGTAGGCCATGGACTTTGGGTCTACTTAAAGGATCATGGGACTTAGTAAGTAGGATTATAACTAAGGTAAATATACTTATAACCCCAATTAGGGGACTTATAACCTTACTAACTAAGTCCCATGATCCTCCAAGTAGGGTATATTATTTCGGGAAAAGGTAGACATAGAGCTACTGTAGGGTTTGGTATGGAGGTCCAGAATGATAAAGCTCACTCCACCGAGAGTGTAGATATGTGCGGTGTATGACATTCTACACATCGCACACGAGACACTGGGGATGAACTCTGGCCTGTGTAGGTCTCAGGTTGTCGAGTCTAGTTGCATATCTACCTAACTGCCAAAACCTACCTGCCTGCCTACCTGTATGCTTACATGCATGCATGCATACAAGCATACGAGCATATAAGCATACAAACATAAATTCGTGAATGACATACATTCATACATGCATGCATACATACATACATACATACATACATCCATACATACATACATACATACATACATCCAAACATGAAGGCATGAATGTATGCACATACATATATATATATATACACATACATACATACATACGTACACATACATACATGCATGCATGCATACATAATACATACATGTATGTGTGCATGTACAAACATACGCATCATGCACACATACATAAGTACATACATAACTACACACATGCCTACATACGTACATACATACATACGTACATACGCACATACGTACATACGTAGGTGCATGCATACATGCATGCATAGATACCTACATGCATACATGCATACATACATACATACGTACATACATACATACATACATACATACATACATACATACATATGTAAATATACACACACGTATGTGTGTATATATATATATATGTATATATATACATGTATGCATGTACATATGAGTGTATGTATACTATATACATGTGTATGTATGTATATATATATATATACAATGTATCAGATAGGTAGACAGTGGCACAAGCATTGACGCAAAGCCCACGTCACGACTCAACTGCAGCTCGCCCTAAGCACCGTGCTGAGAAAAGGGAGGCCAGCCCCCTAGCCGCAGCGTATCTCAGCACCCAGAAGTTCCTGCAAGCCGGCCGCAAAGGACGTTGCAGGCACTGAGCCCTGAACAGACCTCAAACCCGAACACCTTTGGCAAAGTGAGGCCCTAACAACGAGGTAAGAAGCGCCTGATTGAGAAATAGACGACGAACTACTTAAAAAATCATGGGACTTAGTAAATAGGGTTATGACTAAGGTAACGATACTTATAACCCCAATTAAGGGACTTATAATCTTGCTTATTAAGTCCCATGATCCTCCAAGTAGTCGGCCGGCTGCAGACGGTCCCAAGCCCGAAACATGTTTAGGAGGCACCTTCGCCCGGCGGCGACATGCAGGAAGGACTGGCCTTTCCTGACAAAAGCATGAGGAGAGATGTTATAGAGATGTTCTACTGAAGACTCCCAGGGCAAATGTCTGAAGGGTTGAAGGTTTTGTCTTCTCTGCAGCACCTCCCCACTCCTGAAAACAGCGGCCCACGGGCGTACAGGTATTGTGGCAAGTCTGACATAGATCCATTACGGCTGAAAGCTACCGCATGTGTACACCCAGAAATTGCAAGCATTTCGGGCAGAAGCGCCAGGTACAGGAAGGGAGCTCATGTTCCCAAGCCCTAACCCAACAGCTACGACCCGGACTTGTTCCGACCCCACTCGGAGGGTTTGCTGGCATGCTCCGAGCGCCACGCAAGTTGCGGTGCATTCGTAATGCCTGGAAGTGTCGCCGACTTTGTCACAACAGTCACAGCACCGCTCACGGTGGCTCGATCCAGTCTAGTCTAATCGAGTCTAGTCTGGCCATGTCTAGTCTAGTCTTTCGTGCTGGTGAACACTTCCAAAATGCTGTAAGCGTAGAAGCCAAGGGGGGCAACTAGATGTCTCAGAGTCAAGTTCTGGTCCTATTCTACTAATAGCCTCCTCCATGGTCAGATATCTCAGATAACTCAGTCTCTCTAGATATGAGCCTCCTCGACCGATCACGACAGGCTTCTATAAACTAGGGCACGGAACCCTAGACCCTATATAAAAAAGTATGGCAGTATGGCTTAAGATGCAGGCTTTCGGGTCTCCAGTTGCGGTCTGGGCTGCAAGGCTATGGGAAGCGCTCTGGGATCGAAAACCTCCCATCTCGAAAACTGCGTTGCTAAACCCCAGAGCCCTAAACCAGAAAGCTACGACCATGAACCCTGCAACTAAAGCCTCAACCCTAAACCCTACACCCTCCTTATCCGATTCCCAAGGCCGCATTCTGAACCGTCATCCCTGCCTAAACCCTAAACCCTAAACCCTAAGCCCTAAACACTAAACACTAAACCCTGAACCAGGATCAACCCTGGTGCCTCAGGCATTCGTTCGAAGAGCATCGCAAAAAGCCCCTCCGACTGAGAGTCGAACTGCCTAGCAGTTTTAGGGTGTAGGGTTTATAGGGATCAGGGTTTAGGTTTAGGGCTTATAGGGCTTATAGGGTTTAGGGTTTAGGGCTTATGGGGTTTATAGGGTTTATAGGGTTTAGGGTGTAGGGTTTAGAGTCTAGTGGTTTGGGCCTTGTGGCCGCTTCTGGCTTGTTGCTTCGCTGGCGTTTGGGCTTTTTGGTTTAAGGCGAGTTCTGCACCATAGTGAAGGGATGGATGTCCAAAGCTTTAGGTCTAGGGTGTGGGGTTAGGGTTTATGGGATTTAGGGTTTAGGGGTTTAGGGTTTAGGGTTGAGGATTTAGGGTTTAGGGGTTAAGGGTTTAGGATTTAGGGTTTAGAGGTTTAGGATTTGGGTTTAGGGGTTTAGGGTTGAGGGTTCAGGGTCTAAGGCTCGGGAGAAGCGGTTCAAGATTCCAGGTGTAATGCTCCTGAACCCCCAATACCCTGCCTTTTTTCAAAGGACTTCTAGAACGACATCTTAATAGGGAACCCTGGAAAGGAAAGTTGGCTGGGCCGCTCTGCTCACATTGTACCCGGAATGCCAATCTGCTCTTCAACCCTAAAACCTATGAGACCCTAAACCCTAAACCTAAAAGCATGAAACCCCAGCTCGGATTCCCCTGACAGATCCGAGCTTGTGACTGAAAGCTGCTGACCAAGTGGAGGAGTGAATTGCCTGGCCAAGCCGGGCGCGAAGGTGGGGTCTGTCTGTCGTCCCTGACCCCAGACAAGAAATCAACAAAAGACATTCCAAAAACCAAAGCACTAGGCCGGTTGAGGTTGTAGGGCTTAGGGTTTAGGGTTGAGGGCTCAGGTTGCGGCTTAGGGTTTAGGGTTAGGGCGTAGGGTTGAGACTTCAGGCCATAGGGTTTAGGGTTCAGGGTCTAGGGTTCAGGGTTTAGGGTTCAGGGTGTAAGGTTCAGGGTTTAGGGTTCAAAGCAAGTCGGCTAAGAATTACCTTAACAGAGCCCCACGGATCCTAATCGTAAACCTCGAACCTCTCCCGAAACCCACTTTAATCGAAGCCCACCTAAACTGCACAACGGCACACAGTTCAGAGCAGGCGCAAGAAACCCGCAATCCCTCACGCTCGAACTGTTGGACATGAACGACAGAAACTCAATAGGCAAGACATATACTGTAAACGGTTTAGGGTTTAGGGGAAACCCTGCGCCCTTGTAAATCCTACAGCCTACACCCTACACCCTTAAACCCTAAACCCTAGTCCCCACACCCTACACCCCAAACCTATGAGCCCATGCAAGTCCGAAGCACAGCTGCCCTCCCTGCTCTAGGGGCCTTAATAATTAGGCCCATGATACTATACTTATAACAAGGAA